TCAGTATGAGGCCCTGGTGGACACCAACCGCAGAGAAGTGGAGGAATGGTTCACCACGCAGGTGGGCTTCTAAGTGCATGGCCACTCGGGACTCGAGACCCCCCAGGGCCCTTGAGGCAGGGTCTGATCCTGTCTTCTCCCCTTGGGTATTTCAGACCGAGGAGCTGAACAAGCAGGTGGTGTCCAGCTCGGAGCAGCTGCAGTCCTGCCAGGCTGAGATCATTGAGCTGAGACGCACAGTGAACGCCCTGGAGATCGAGCTGCAGGCCCAGCACAACCTGGTGTGTATTGTGCAGACCTGCTGGGGAGCAACACAGTGTTGGGGAAGCAGAGGCCCTGGGGTGCCCTTTGGGTCACACGCTGTCCTCAGCTCTTGGAGCTTGTGGCTTCTCTGAATCCCCATGGTGAAACCCTTTCAAGGAGCAGCTCTCTGACATTCTTATCTTTCCCACCACAGAGGGACTCTCTGGAAAACACGCTGACAGAGAGCGAGGCCCGCTACAGCTCGCAGCTGTCCCAGCTGCAGTGCATGATCACCAACGTGGAGGAGCAGCTGGCCGAGATCCGCTGTGACCTGGAGCGGCAGAACCAGGAGTACCAGGTGCTGCTGGACGTCCGGGCCCGGCTGGAGTGTGAGATCAACACGTACCGGACCCTGCTGGAGAGCGAGGACTGCAAGTGAGTACAGGGCTAATGGTTTTTCCCTTGGGCACATGAGGTTGCTGTGCGGATGAATAGTCTTCCTGATAAAAATGAATTTATAACTTCAAGCTTTTGGTTGGAGGTAGAGCAAGGAAGAATGATGTTCTTACACAAAGTGCATTTAGTATCTTCCTATCTCTTCAGCTCATGTTATTCTAACCTGCTCCAATGACATTTTTTGTCTGAAGGCTCCCCTGTAACCCCTGCGCCACAACCAATGCATGCGACAAGCCCATTGGGCCCTGCGTCTCCAATCCCTGTGCCTTGCGACCTCGGTGCGGGCCTTGTAACACCTTTGGTCACTAGAGGCCAGCTGCCAGGAGGAGGAGGAGGAGGGCTTCAGACACATCTCAAGTCTACTCCATCCCAACATCTCCAAGAGTAGCCACACTTTGGATAAAGACAGAAACATTTCGACCAGCACCGGCTTCCAGGGGTCAGCTCTAGCCTTCCGCTGTATTCCGTGGCGTGATCCTTCAGCACAAAAGACTGCAGAGTCTGTCTTCTGACTCACACAGAGAAACCTACAAGAGGATCAAGTAATATCTATGATCATGATGACACATTTCTATAACATGTTATCTTTTAACAAAACTTATCTAAATGTGATTGAGAGATAATTACATCAAGTGTGGTAGAGCAGATGGGCACGCTGTGGAACAGAACGTAATTGTAATAAATCTTCCCTGTCACTGTTTTGATCTTTGGAGATGCGATAAAAATCCTTTGTTAACCTCCTAATAAACTCTTATTCTGGCACAAAAATTATAATTGTATGTTTCACTCATTAATTCCCAAATTGCTTGTCTTGTATAAATAAAAAGTAACCAGTATCTTTCTATCAGATGAAGAGGTAGGTCATTCACCCCAGTATATGGTCTGTGACTTCCTTCAAAGGAAAAGTCACCACCAGATATCACCTACTGATCTGGATTTCATGTTTGGGAAGGAGGTGGTGGAAAAGAGAATGGCAAAGTGTCTTTAGAGATACAGGAACTACTCATTTTGAAACATAAGGTGTAGGGAGGGATCTGCAAAGCTTTGGAGTAAAGGGAAAACTGTACTAAGGTATAGAAATCTGTCTTAATGTGTGATGTACATATATATCATATACACATATATATCCATACACCATATGCATCAATGGTATACACACAGATACCATATACACACCTACATACCATGTACCGTACACATATACATGTGCACACACATGAGATATGCTGAAAGGTTGTGGGTAGAAAGTAGGAAGGAGCAAAGGGTAGAGGAATCTAGTGGTCATGAGGACGGGTGGGATCTGCTAGGCTGGATGGTGGGGGAGGTGCCTGGGTTTCACCTTCCTCTTCTTGTCCCCTCCCCAGTGCTCAGGGACCCCTTGTGACTTTCTGTAGTTCTGTGATGTGTGCCTGGAACTCTGTGCTGGAGCGCGCTTTCTGATGGCGGGAACTGTGATGGGTTATTCTGTGTTCCAGCGACCTGGGGGTTTGGTCCCATCTGTTTTGACTTGTATGCAGTTGGAATCATCTTTCTCTCTGTATTGCTGCCACATTCAGTGGTTTCCAGATTTACCAATGTTTAAAACAACACAAACAACAATCAAAACAAACAAACAAACAAACAACCCCCCCCCCAATCCAAGGCCCAGCCCACAAAAGAGATTGATCCTTGTTTTTCTTTCTTCCTATTCTCACTTTTCTAAGTCAATTTCTGGAATGGAGAGATATCAGGAATGGAAACTCTCTGTACAGATTAGAACATCATCAACCTATGAGAACAGGTAGGGCAGGGCGGGAGGTGGAGTGGGGCTCGGGCTTCTCTCCAAAACTCACCGGCCATATACTGAGGTGTGGTAGAGAGTTGTAGAGGAAAATACCAAAGGACCTTGATTCAGGGCTGTGGATATCTGAGGACAGCTTGGGAGGTGGGCCCTTGACACTTGGTCACTAGCTACCTTCCCATCCCAGGAGTCTCTGGGCCCAGCCCTTCCCCTGTGCTGGGGCTAAGGTGGAGAGCAATGCTCAACTTCCAAAAGATTCTGATCTCTCACTACTCTGTCCTCAGGAACAGAATCCTATAGGATGGAGAATAGATGGTCCTGAAGATCTGAGAGTCTGTGCCCCGCTTCAGTGGAGGACCACTGCCTGAAATACCGATTGAGGACCACATATACAAAATACTTCTGTATGTGAGTTTGGCAGAGAAGAATCAACAGAAAACATTTTTAACAATTTTAAAAATAAATCACTTGGATACATTATGGTTTTCAATTAAATCAATGTAGAAAGTCACATTATCATTAATGATGAATGTCTGCTGCTTGCTTGAAATGAAGAGGTGAATAAATGGGTTTGAAACTCTTGTCTTTCAGCAACAATGCAGAAGCAGGAAAAGAAAAAAAAAGCAGATGCTCTTAAAAGTGAGGTTCTGTTATTCAACCCCGGGCTCTCCCAGATTTGAACTTAATTTCTCATTCCCATGAGGTTTCAGGTCCGCCATCGCGGAGGTGCTCAGTCTTAGAGCCAGGCCTTCTCAGAAGACAGGGCCACGTGGGAGAGGCTCGCAGCAAGGGAACCAGAAGCTGCCCTGCCCCTTCACGGGGAATAAACAGTAAGAGTGTTGGGCAAGGGGTCTTATCCACCAGGGGACGGTGAGGGTATGGTGGAATAGTTATAGGTTGTTTTGGAGGAAAAATGTTTGGACTTATCCCTGACTTTGGATAAGTTGCTAACTTCCCTAATTTTCAGATTCCTCCTTTGAGAGAGGCCTGCCAGCCTCGTGGGGCTGTGACGACCACCTGTGCATGTGGAAGCACTTGGTGAGTGGCAGAACACGGCACGTACATCAGCCTTAGTATTCTTGGCATTGACCCTTTGACCCTGAGGGCCAATTCTTGGGCTTTCAGTATCTAATTTTGAGATGATCTGTAGCTAGTAAAACATTTTACTCAGCCTCCTACAAGGTCCTTTTTCTCCTACCTTTGACCGACGTAACCCAGGCTCCGATTTTCCAAGTTTGGAGAACTCACCTGAAAGGCCCTAAGGTGGTTCTGAGCCAACTTTCTCTTTGTGAAAGGTGATGAATCTCTTTTGTATTCCGGGACTCTCTAGCTTACTTCGGGGTATCCCACTGCCCAGTGCAGCAGGGGTTGACACAAGAGGAGGGACCGCAGAGAATGGAACATAGTAGGAATCCTTGGGGTGAGAGATAATGGGAGTATTGTCATGTGGGGACCTGTGAGGAGGAATTGTGACCTGTGCGGGGCCTGCCTGGCAAGTCCGTCCCCATTCTCCTCCTGGGTGCACTTTTTTAAAGCTGTTGTCTCTTATAGAAACCTGCACAGGTTTCCTTTCGAGGGTAGCTGTATGTGGGGTGGCTCTGAGGAGGAGACAAAATCCTGACCTCTTCCCAAGTCCACTGCTTATTGCGCATCTACCCACGTTTCCAGGCTGTGGTAGGGTGGCGGGCCTTGATCACCTATCACAAACGGGGGGGCCCGCTCCAGGTCTGGATGGTCTGACTCCAGAGTGCCTGCTCCTGGCCCCCGTCCCATCCCCACCCTGTGGGTCACGTGTCTCCCAGAGCCCAGAACGATAACCACACTGCTGATTGTGAGTAACTGTACTTCCTTCTCAAACATCATCGTCTACACTACCACACTGGGGCCTGTGCTATGTATAGAGTGGACAGGCATTGATATCTCCCTTTAAAAGAAGCTTTATTGAGGTAGAGTTGATTTATGAGAAGCATACAGTTTGATAAGTCTTGACACGTGTATATGCCTGTTCACAGCCACCACTGTGACAGTAATGGACATATCCACCATTTCCAAAAGTTTCCTCATGGCTCTTTGCAATTCCTGCTCCCCACTCCTGTCTCCTCAATTTTAGGAAAGAAGAAACTGAGTTTTCTGGGCAGCTGGAGGAAGAACACACACCAGCTGACTCTGCCCTTCTCTCTACGCCGTGTTGGCTTGTAGAAGGCCAGCAGGGTGGCAGAGCCCAGCAAAGGCCAACGGCAGCAGTGTGTAGCTGTGATTCTTGACGAGAGAGGAACCAACATCTACCTAATACCTATCGTGTGGTTTAAACCCTGAGGGTCAGTGGATTATGGCCACTCAGTGGATGGGAAAACTGACAGGTTAAGGAAACTTGGCAAGAGTGTGTGGGTCAGTGGTAGAGCCCAGTTCTCCTCCTCTTGCTCCCTGAAACCTGGCTCTGCTGCCCTGGCTCCTGCCTCCCAGCGTGGACTTGGCAAAGCTGGCTCAACTGCCAGAGCCTTCCAGCTCTCGGATGTTTAACCTCCATTCACACAGCAGCTGATATCATTGTTTCCCTGGACTGACATCTGCCCACCTCACTGTGCCAGGACTCCCAGGTATGTATGTTCAAAGTCCACCTGGAACCCAAGTCTTCTCCCTTGCAAGGAATACCAGCCAACCCTTTGGAGATGGTAGAGAGATTTTGGAATTTGGGGGTGGATGGTGGGGGGGAAAGTGTCTTCTAGGCCAGGAAAGGGTGTGCCAACCCAGAAGGTAATTTCCCTTTAGTGACTTTACTTTAGAATCCCTAGTGTAGCCAAGGAGGAGGCAGCAGGGGCTGGTTCTGCTGCCCCTTGCTGTCCCTCCCTCTTTTCCTTTTATCTTGAAACATTCCAAAGCAGGATGCTATGGGACATCGCTTTCAAACATTTTTTTTTTAGACCAACAGTATTCCTTTTCCAAATAAAAACTTAAAGAGATAAAGAATCTGCTGCCCCTTGCTGTCCCTCCCTCTTTTCCTTTTATCTTGAAACATTCCAAAGCAGGATACTATGGGACATCGCTTTCAAACATTTTTTTTTAGACCAACAGTATTCCTTTTCCAAATAAAAACTTAAAGAGATAAAGAGAAGAGCAATGTTTTATTAGTATATCTTTAATTTTAAGATATAGTTATAATATTTACTTATAAATTCAATCAGTGGGATGAATGAGGTTGTTTGGGTTCATTTGTTTGTTCACTGAATTTTTATTAAGTACTTAATCTGGGTCCGGTGTTGTTCTCAGGACCAGGGATGCCTCAGTGAGAAGACAGACAAGGTCAGGCTTTCGTGGTGTTTGCAGACCAGTGGGGGAGACAAGCAGTAAATAAGAGTGGCTGCATAAGTAAACAGACACAGCGGGAAGAGGATCTTAAAGAGTGCTGAGCACTAAGAAGAAACCAAGCAGAGTGATGCATACAGGTCTGGGCAATATTGCTTACCACGGTCAGGGCTGGCCTCTCCAGGAGGTCACATTTGAGTTGAGACCTGAAAACTGAGAAGAAACA